TTTTGCCATGCATCCTAGTCACACCTTTCTTATTTTGTCTTCCTTTCATAGGTAAGAAAGAATCTTATATTATTCAATTGTGTTATATTCTTGTTGTTCATAATATGTGTATTTCTAAACTATTAGCTTCACTATTCACATATCTTGTATTACTGTGTAAAAAGGGATATTAATGATCTTTGCCAATGACTTGTTGGATTATATCACATGTGGACTATGGGTGGAAATATGAGAAATGCCATGTGGGAAGAGATGCCATGTGGGGAGAGATAATGTCATTGATGAACATAATAATCACTTGTAGAAATGATAGGAAAGTATTATCGAGTGTGTGAGATTGATGATTATGTTGTTTGATTTAGACAACATTTTAAGTAAGTTTTGAGAAGAGAATATACTTTATTACTGTCAGTATATTTGTCTTTTGCTCGATATTCATGTGTATATATATATTCTTAGCCAAGGACATGTGCCATTTACTATGCATTATGCCAAAGCACATTGTTATATATTCTAGTTCGAGTTAGATACAGTTTGAATAGCGAAATGAGTTGTTCAAGTCCAGTTTATCTTTAACTTACAGTATTATGGTATGAGTGAGTGTGGACGCACCATGTGTACAAAACTAGGGTGTTATTAGGATATGGCAGTGCGTTCAATGTGAACACAACTTCTTATCAGAGTTCTTAATCCCCTCTCCCCCAAGCTTGACCATCCACTGCAATGCATTACACGCACACAGTGTAGATAGAGTATATGCTATACCCAAATGCTGTGTTGAGAAGTGTTAGAGATAGAATGTGTTTGTTTTTGACCCATGCTGGAAATGGTATCTTTGGCGGGAATGAAAGTTTGGTAGAGTCAGCAAAATGAGAAGACAAAGGATTTGAGTTGGGGAATACACTTGTTGAGAAACACATGGTCAAATTGTCTAATAGTTAGCTAGTGATGGATGGGTTGATGAAATATTGTAGTTGAAGACTGCATAATCACTGTCTGGAATTCATTGTATTATATTGTTAGGAATGATAATTCAGGTTAAATGTTATTGGGAATTTCTCTCTCTCTCTCTCTCTCTCTCTCTATATATATATATCTCCCTCTCTCTCTCCCCCCTCTCTCTTTATATTCTCTCCCTCTCTTTCTCTCTCTCTCTCTCTCTCTCTCTCTCTGTATGGTTCACCCTTTCTCTTTCACTCCCACTTTGCTTTGTATATAACCATGAAATGAATATACATGTATTTAGTAAAACTATTGGTTGTTGTGTAGAATTAGAATATGAACTGTATGTGAAGATGAGATTATACAGTAAGAGGAATTCGTAATATTGGTTGTAAGTTTGTTAGAGCTATTAGTACAGACTGCAGACTAAGACTATTTGCCAGTGCTGTGAATATTGTAAGGAGTTATAAGTTGTTGAAGATGTATCTTTTCAAGCTCAGCAATCTCGCTGAAAAAGATAGTATTAGATCAAAGTGATGCAGATGACTATTGGAAAATACATGAGCTATAGTTAAGGAAGAGTTATAAGTTTATTCAGTATTAATGTGAAGTCCTGAGACAAGAAGTAACTTGTGAATTTAGGGATTAGTGAAGGCTGAGAGTAGAATTGCATTCTAAGGGTCTATGTGTACAGTGGATCCTCAGTCTTGGAGCGTAAAGAGTAGAAAGCTTATTAGGCAATAGTATAGGGATGATTATGTCAACATTCTTGTATTAGGTCTATATATGTGATTTCTTGAAAGAGACGCTAAGTGAAGAGTTATATGATTAGAAGATAAAGTAGATTGACTGATACCGCAATGTTATAGACATTTGATAAGGGTTAAGTTATTTATTAGTAGCCAAGTTATGATTATGAGATCGATGAAGAGTTGCACTTTTACATAAAGCATGGAAGTAAGGATAGTTTCGTTTAGAGATAGTAAAGTAATGAAACTAACCAGATGATGTTCTTAGTGATATAGTAAGAGAACACGGAGAGCTAATGAATTCAATGTATGCGAACAGGTAGATTTATTTGTGTTTAATACTTGAAGAGTATTGTTAATGTTATGCCATTTGATCGTATATATGTTATTGTAAGAAAAGACTGTTATTGTAGAAGATTAAGTAATAAAGACTTTGTTTTGCCATGCATCCTAGTCACACCTTTCTTATTTTGTCTTCCTTTCATAGGTATGCCCCCTCCCTCGGGGTGCGGGCGCTACAATAATAATAATAATTATCCTTGCTTATATAGCGCCTAACACTTACTTTATCAGAAGTCTCTAAGCGCTCTACAATAATGTAGCATATTAATCTTCACAGTACCCTGAGAGTATGACTCTAATATAGCATAGATTTGGGGGTCCCTTGCCAGACATAAAGTGCCCGCTGATTGAGCTGCGTCCCCATTTTGAGGGGGAAGCTTGAATAATATGCTTGTAATTAAGTGCCCCTCCCTCAGTGCCTAGATAAATGTACCTCATCAGTCATCCACAAGGGCAAGGTGTTCATCATTAATTCATAAGGGCACGAATGTTGGCTGCGTCTTCTATACAGTGCGTCCCAGAAAAAACGAAACCCAGAATCATCGATGTTTTATCTTAACTTAATCACAATTATAATTGATAAATGACACATATTTTTAAAGCTTAGATCCTCTTCTTTCATTTGATGCAACTTGACTTTTTGGTTTCCTCTCTTCATATTCATTTTAATCACTCATGCATGAAATATGCATCATAATGAGTTGCATCAAATGAAAGAGGAGGATCTAAGCTTTTCAAATATGTGTCATTTATTAATTATAACTGTGACTAAGTTATGATAAAACATCGATAGTTCTCGGTTTCGTTTTTCCTGGGACGCACTGTTCAATGACGGACGAGTCTTTGAAGTCTCGAGGGGCATTTACGAAGTCAGCTACTCTCTGTGAATGTCGCTTGTTTGCCCCCGGACGGCTCCTTCTACATAACTGCGAACATTCGCGCCAGCAGGTTATAATTGAAAGTTCACAGTGACTCTCTACCTGCCTGAAAGCATGTTCTTGTTATTGCTTCTGCTTATTTTGTTTTTTTACGACACATGCTCGGGCGACGAAAAGCTCCGTGGTATAGTTTCCTACTTTTAACTAATTTCCTCAATTCAATCCTGGACCAAATGATAGAACCCTATTCCTAACCCATAAATCTAGCTTGAAAACCATTTGCAACCCTACGGTAATCCGTCTTTTCCCCACATACTTTATTCAATTCAATTCAATGTGATTCACTCATTAAAACCACATAAAATACAAATACAAGTAAAAATACAAAAATATAAAATTACAAACATCATGACAATAAATACAAGTGAAGCTTGGTTTAAAAAAAGAGAGATTAAAAGTCTTGTAAACGTCATCCCTACATTGAAAACAATTTTGTGTGTGTATATGTTACTTTACCTTTAAAAATTGAGGGGAAATATATACAATGCAACCCAAAAAAGACAGCTGAGACGGTACAACGGCGACAATGGATTAAAAAGGTAAATAGAGAAAGGGGATGAGAAAAGGGCAAGGAAGTGCAAGAATGAGAGAGAGAGACAGAGAGAGAGACAGAGAGAGACAGATAGAGAGAGAGAGAGAGGGAGAAAGAGAGAGAGAGAGATAGAGAGAGAGGGGGGGGGTGAGAGAGAGATATGCAGAAAGTGAGCAAGAGAGAACATGGAATAACATAGATAGGCAAGAGAATTAGATGAATGAACATAAAGAATCAAGATAATACATGTACAAACATTATTACACTCCTGACTCATTCAGAATCTTATTACATGTTTTTAAATGAGTTTCGTGATTGACTGAAGTTGGTTATGAGTTTCACCACCTAGGTCCTGGGAAACATACTAAATTTGGTGATGTGGATATTCTAGCATACGGCATATGAAAGTAATACGAATTCCGAGTGGAATAAGAATGAGTATCCAAATTAAATATATTATTATTTTGTTAATACATCAGACAGTTTGTTGTGGCAGGAATACATGAGCATAGTCAGAACACATTTATACAATTAAAAAACATTCACGATTTGTATCTGTACATAAGAAATACCTCGTTTGAAAATTGAAAGGAAAATTGCACATGATTATAACAGCTTTCTTCTGTAATTTATGTAGTCTGTTTATATTACAGTTGCTTGAAACTGCCCACATAACATTACAACAAGTGAAATGAGGATGTATAAGTGTAATGTATACATTTTTAAGAACATTTGGCGGTAATTTGTTTAAATCTATTTTAATCTAATACACCCGGAAACCCTAATACATCAACATGTTCACTCGGTGACAACTTGTCATCCACTGATACTCCAAGGAATTTAGTAACCCGCACCTTTTTAATTTCCTTATCATTCATAAACATCTTTAAAATGATGAATTGCTTGTTATGAACATTTAATAATGGTGCTTTTACGTACCCATTAATCATAGTCACATTAAGGTTACTCCATTCATGGGTGAAATGTATGGATACATTTCATACATATGTGTTGTAGGCCTGCAGGACAATATACACGGTATCGCCCTACATCCGCGATGACTTTAAGCCTGGAGCAAGGTTAATGTCGCCGAAGCAACTGTCATTTTCAACCCTATTTTCGGAATTCTTGTCATACATTTTTTTTTAAAGATTATGCCCAACTCAAAAAAAAATTATCGTTGTCAATTTTCAAATGGAAGCATGGTAAAATCCGTGCAATTTCTTTAAAAGCTCGATTTACATACTTGAACCTTATGTTTTGGAAATCCAATCTCCATTACAAAGAGAGGAATATGATATGAGAAAATATTGGAGTTAAACGAAGTCAAGAAGAGTGAGTGAATTGTTTGTTTGTTTCATTTTTGTTTTTGCTGTGCTTTGTTTTTGCAACTGTAAATCTCAAGTATCTTTAAAAAGTCACTTAGTACCACCGTTATTGATATTTGTTCAATGTTTGAGTCATCTGTTAACATAGTGAAGAATAGACCTTTATGGTTTAAGTACAAGCGGCAACTGGCCACTCCATCTAATGGAGAAAAAATAACCAAAAAATAACCAAAAAAAAATCGGGATTGGGAGAAAAAAAAAGAAAGGGGGAAGAGAAAATGAAGTGAAACGGAGAAATCTGGACCATCTCCCCCCCCCTCCCCCATAATCAGTATTCTTAATATTCGTCTCAGAGGCCCTTAATTGGACTGCCGCTACGCCACTGAACGACTAATTACCAAATATACCAAGATGTGTGAGCAGCATCGGTCAATGAAGAATAGCTTCATTATTATTCCAAATTATTGATCCAAGTTATTTTTAATGATTGTTGTAAAAGAAATACGTTCATAACTGTGTTGGTAGGCAATGGAGACTTTAGGCTTTATTCATGTCCAAGGGACTGAATGAGGAGCAATATCCCAACCCAAAATGCACTGCTGCACAAACCTTGAACCCCCAACCTCCAAGCGTTGATATCATTAACAACTATTAAAACCGTAGCGGTTCATGTGACGTGTTTGCCAATACATTATGCAGTAAAGAAGTTATGAAGGAATACGTGGTCGTTGCTATTTCTGTCTTTCTGACCATAATTTTCACGACCACGTCAAATTCCTTATTTCTTATACAATATAGTATACCTTCCAAATATAAATCACCATCTACAACAAAATGAACGTTTCGTTTAGGTCAACGTAGGCTTTCAAATTTCACTCAAAAATTCGTGCCAGTGATAACTGCGATAAACTTGATGAAAAAAGACAAACTTACTTGTTGAATGAAGAGAACGATGGGACACGCAATACTTCCAAATATCCAGTTTTCTTTCATCATATAAATGAATGTAAACGGCATACAAAATAAAGCGGCAATGAGGTCGGCTGCCGCCAGGTTGATAAGAAAGTTGTTAAGGTCTGTCCTTAATCTAGCCGTGAATCCGAGGATCAAAATCACCATAGCATTACCAGCGATCGCTAGCATTATTGTCACCGAGTAGACCACAGTTAAAAGCACCTGGGACTCAAAAGACACTCCTAAACTGTCGTCACAATCTTCAAATACACTGGAGGAATCTGTGGTGAGTGTGTCGTAGACATTATCCTCTTGCAACAAGTTGTAAGAGTTGTTGCTGCTGTTGCCGCTCGTGAGCTCCGCCGAGGCTGACCTGCCGTCGCCCATGCTTTCGGCGGCGTAGTAGCCGATCTCAGTGGTTGTCATGTACGTGGTCGCTTCGACCATCGTTTAGTCTGAACCTGTCAAAACTTCGAAAATTGGCTAACAAACCAAGAATCAATGAGGCTTTATTCACACTTCGCTTGTAATTAGCTTAATTTGCGTAAAGAAAAATCATTCCACGAATTAAAAATTGGTTGCGATATAAACTAACCAGACTCTGTCCACTTGATGCGAAGTTGAACTGCGTGCATAATTGGTTTTGCAACATAGCAACTTGACTTTGTTTCCTCTCTCTGCGTTTGAAATGAATGACCACTGTGCGCCGCGTATGTGTGACGTAGACTGCTTGCAGATGAACACGTTTCGCTGTCTCCCTGTCTTAGCTTTTCTTCCTCGAGAAGCGCTCGCATTCTCCAAGCCATTCACAAGTGCGTTCAATAATGAAGTGGTGGAAATGCGCGGGAGACAGTGGCTGATCCAGTGTCCAAACCCAATATGGTATCCCAGAAGTACACAAAAGAAGAAAAATGTGCACGAATGTGTGTTCGTCTACCTCCCGTCCTCCCCCCCCCCCCCCCAATCCCTTCCTGCGGAAAAAATGAATGTACCTGGTGAATGTCATTCTTTATGTTATCTATTTATTTGCGCTCTTCTGTGTATACCTGCTTGCTTTCATTTCTGTCAGGGATTTTTTTCTCCATACACCCGATATATACCTTTTTTCGGGTAAGATTTTAATTCGATTGTTAGGGTATGGTGTCACCTCATATTCAAGGTGTAACACATGATCGGATTTTCCCTCCTCCACTTGTCTTAATTGATTACGATTAACTCTTTGCATGCCACGCAAATAATCTCCCTGTGCCACATTGCATTTATCATGGGATATTATGTTACCAAAAAAAAGGCGTGAATATTATTTAACTGTTTTCAGTGCAAGATTAATCTGTACCAAAATACTTTGTACAAGACAATGGTTTTGCAAAATTACACACTTCAAGTCTTGATTAGATCACATCACAGTGATCTAAGTGGTCTAATCAAGACGTCTGAAGGTGTGTAATTATGTAAACCATTGTGTTGCACAAAGCAATCCTTCGTGCCTATTGTTTTGTTCAAAAGTGTGGGTGTGCAAACGAGCGGGTGTGCAAACGAGCGACCGTACATAGAAGCGTGAAAGCAATCAAAAGGTTCGGTAACAAGCAACACCACATAATATGGTATCTCTAGACAGAAAACTTTTCATAAATTCTCTTTACATGATTACTTCAAAGACTGTCGAAACGTGTCCTCTGCGAGAAACGAAAGAGAGAGAATAATTAACCATGTTTTGTAATAGAAGATATGGTCGAATAATTGAGATTATATTTAAGATGAAAATGGATTATCACCTGTTTCGTGAGCCAATACTACGAATACAGTTCAGCCAAATAATTATTAATCCATTATGTTTGGTTAAAGGTAATACAAAGTTTTGGTATGGGATCATGAATTTGGTTCAAATGAACATATTGGAAGCGTATATGCGATCCTACAATATTTAGTGATCGTTGTCGCGGTTGAAATCGACTCTAAAGTTATGAAATTATAAATAATACAATCTTTATGTTGTATAGCTCCCTCTCAGGGTCAATATATTAATTAAGCTATAAAACAATATTTCTTGACTAAAATCGATCAATTAGCTATTCCCGTTTGGAAATTATATATCACAACTACATATTCTGAGATTTTCATGGTCGCAGCTACCATTGTACGGCCGTAGGCGCTATTTGAATTTTAACAACATTTACCGGGAGCACCGGTAAATTTGTATTTAATTTTTCTCGAAAGCAGAAGTGTTTTAGGGGCTAAATATTCTAGTGCTTATAAAACATCCATAGGGGCATCCAAATATATCAAAATTGTAAAGAACCACTATCCACCCAATTTTCAAAATTTCCCAAAACTTTGTAATACCTTTAATCTTGTGTAAAATAAAATCCAACACAGATCTTCTGCTTAATCAACTATTCATTGTTCGTTCGTTTCTTTATCTGTTTGTATATTTATGTACTTATTCATTTATTTACTTATTTATACTAATTTTTTAAACTCCTGTTTACTTGTTTTCTTAATTTGTTAAATTTATTGATTTGTTTACTTTAGTTGGCAAAGATAACTGAGGTGATGTCTTTTGTTGGGAGATGCAGAGGTTGTGGGTTTGAGCCCTAGCACGAGGCCTGTGTTGAACAATCATTTCATTGTAAAATTATTGCTTCTCTTCACCCACGTTAAAAGGCATGTGGTTCGAATGCTCTCTATGAAATATGATAACATTTAAATTTTGAAATCGACCGCGGTAATAATAAAATGCAAAGTTACCTGCAACTCAGTACCAGATAAAAAGAACTGTGCAGTTATTAGTACCGCTGTTATCTGTAGGTCGTACACAAATATTCCGTTCTTGATCGCCCTGACGCTTGACTGCACGTGCGTATCAGTTACTGTTAATACGTTCTTTAATTACTTTCTGAGGTGAGGCTGAATTGATTTTACCGCGAAACAGCATCTAACTCTCGTCTCCCGTTTATATCTTCTTTCGCCCTAAAGATACATATAACCGTTCGAATTGTCATCTTAAGTATATGACGACATAGCAGGAAGTGTGTTGGTATGAGTAAATATCAGGAATATAGGAGCAAAGAGGCGAAGGCCCATGGATGTATGATGTTAGGTAATGTGTTTGGAAATGTGATGACACGCTCCAATTTTCCGTCGGGGATACGTAATG